GTGCGCAAGTCTATCAGCTACATCGAACACGGGAGACGACAAAATCGCCTCATCATTCCGGGCATATTCCCGACCGGAATAGACTTTGAGCAGCTGAGAACTGACCGCGAGAAGATTGTATTCAATCGCATGAGCGCGCGGTACTCGGAACTCAAGACCCTTCCTGGCAACCTGGCCCACTGGGACACATCCGGGGATTCTTTTGTCCCAGATGATACCGCCAAGCGGAAGGCCATCATTGAGATGAAGTCGCTAGCTCTGTATTCTAAGCAGCGGGCCCTGAGGGACAAGATCGGGAGGCAGATGCTACACTACGACAACCTTGCCATGACGACAAATAGATCCGCGTACCGGAGGACGAAGAAGCAGACTGTTAGGGAAGCTCGTATTACAGAGAAGCTCGAGAAACAGCAGCGTGACGCTCGCGAGCACCGCGAGCGCAAGAAGCATGTTGATTTCCTGCAGGCTGTCCACAACCACCGAGGCGAGATTTACAATGCTGGTCAAACCCAGCGGGGCAAGATGCAGAAGCTTGGTCGTCTCATGATCTCTCATCATTCTAATATCGAAAAAGAGGAACAAAAGAGAGTCGAGAGGACCGCCAAGCAGCGTCTTCAAGCCTTGAAAGCCAACGATGAAGAGGCATACCTCAAGCTTCTTGACCAAGCCAAGGATACACGCATTACCCACCTTCTCCGCCAGACCGATGGTTTCCTGCACCAGCTTGCATCCTCCGTTCGCGCTCAGCAAAGGCAGGCCGCCGTCAACTTCGGGGGCGCCGAGGAATTGCCAGAAGAAGAGAGCGAGGTTGAAGAGGAAGACGAAGAATCTAACCGCAAGATTGATTATTATGCTGTTGCTCATCGGGTCAAGGAAGAGGTCACCGGGCAAGCTGACATCCTGGTCGGTGGTACACTCAAAGAGTACCAGGTCAAGGGTTTGCAATGGATGTTGTCGCTTTACAACAACAGCCTCAACGGTATCTTGGCGGACGAGATGGGTCTCGGCAAGACTATCCAGACCATCAGTTTGATTACCTACCTAATCGAGAGGAAGCAGCAGAATGGGCCGTATCTTGTCATCGTCCCACTCAGTACTCTGACCAATTGGAATCTCGAGTTTGACAAGTGGGCGCCATCTGTCACCAAGATTGTTTACAAAGGTCCTCCGAGCACTAGAAAGCTCCAGCAAGACAAGATCCGTCAGGGCAAGTTCCAGGTTCTGCTCACCACATACGAGTACATCATCAAGGATCGGCCTCTTCTCAGCAAGATCAAGTGGTTTCACATGATTATTGATGAAGGTCACCGTATGAAGAACGCGAACTCGAAGCTCAGCGCCACCATTCAGCAATATTACAGCACCAGATACCGCCTGATCCTTACCGGTACTCCCCTTCAGAATAACTTGTCTGAACTGTGGGCTATGCTCAACTTCGTCCTTCCTAACATTTTCAAGTCTGTCAAGACTTTTGATGAATGGTTCAACACGCCGTTTGCCAACACCGGTAGCCAGGACAAGATGGAGCTTACAGAAGAAGAGCAGATTCTCGTCATCCGTCGTTTGCACAAGGTGCTACGCCCCTTCTTGCTACGCCGTCTCAAGAAGGATGTCGAGAAGGATCTTCCGGACAAAACCGAAAAGGTCATCAAGTGCAAGTTCTCTGCCCTCCAGTCCCGCCTATACAAACAGATGGTCACGCATCAGAAGATTCTTGTCAGCGACGGCAAGGGGGGCAAGGCTGGTGCTCGTGGCTTGAGCAACATGATCATGCAGCTCCGAAAACTTTGCAACCATCCTTTCGTTTTCGATGAAGTCGAGAACCAGATGAATCCTCTGAACATCAGCAACGATCTTCTGTGGAGAACGGCTGGCAAGTTTGAGCTCTTGGACAGGGTGCTCCCCAAGTATAAAGCGACTGGGCATCGTGTTTTGATGTTCTTCCAGATGACGGCGATTATGGACATTATGGAGGATTTCCTGCGTTACCGCGGCATCCAATACCTTCGCCTTGACGGTACCACAAAGTCGGAGGATCGCTCAGATCTTCTCAGAGACTTCAACCGACCAGACTCGCCTTATTTCATGTTCCTCCTCTCCACTCGCGCTGGTGGTCTTGGTCTCAATCTTCAAACAGCCGATACCGTCATCATTTACGATTCCGATTGGAATCCTCACCAGGATTTGCAAGCTCAGGATCGCGCCCATCGTATTGGTCAGAAAAACGAAGTGCGGATTCTTCGGCTGATCAGCTCAGCATCCGTTGAGGAAAAGATCCTAGAGCGCGCAAGATACAAGCTCGACATGGATGGCAAGGTCATTCAAGCCGGTCGCTTCGATAACAAGTCTTCCGAAACAGACCGTGATGCCATGTTGCGAACCCTCCTCGAAACTGCAGACATGGCAGAAGGCGCAGAACAGGAAGAGATGGACGACGAGGAGCTAAACATGATCTTGGCTCGGAGCGATGATGAACTCGTTACTTTCCAGAAGATGGACGAAGTGAGATATCGCGATCCCGTCTACGGCACCCAGCCAGGCTGTAAATCTACGCCTCGTCTCATGGTTGAGGACGAGCTGCCTGAGATCTACATGTCGGATGGTAACCCAATTGAGGAAGAGACAGAGGTCAATCTCGGCCGCGGAGCTCGTGAGCGCACCAAGGTGAAGTACGACGATGGTCTCACCGAGGAGCAGTGGCTCATGGCTGTGGATGACGAGGAAGATACACCAGAACAAGCCGCAGCACGGAAGGCTGCCCGGAAGGAACGCCGAGAGCAAAATAGGATCAAGAGGGTTGCTGGTGGATCGATAGAGAATTCTCCGGCCGCTAGTCGCGCCAGCACGGAGGAGGTCGAGACGCCGGTGAAGAAGCGCGGCCGCAAGCCAGGTAGCAAAAACGCCGAGAAACGTAAGGCGGAAGATGGCGACGATGAGCCGCCTGCCAAGAAGCGCCGCGGTCCTCAAGGCCGTCCAAAGGCTGTCGCGTCAACCAATGGGGTCGTTCCGCCAGATACGAGAGAGAGACTCCAAAAAAGCCTCAAGAGAATTTACGACGGATTGATGAGCTTCGAGGTGGATGACGACGCTCCGGAGGAGAATCCTGACGATAAGGACGACGACGATGAGCCCCCAAAGCGTCTTATCATTGGCCCGTTCGTCAAACTGCCACCGAAGCGAGACTGGGCCGACTATTATCTCATCATCACAAGCCCGGTCTGCATGGCCGACATCGCCAAGAAAATCAAGAAGGAGGATTACAGGAGTCTCGCCGACCTGCGTAGAGATTTGGATCTTATGATTAAGAATTGTAGGACCTTCAACGAGGAAAGCAGCGGTATTTGCCAAGATGCGAATACAATAGAGGTATGTTGAATTGTGGACATTAAGCGCAAGGAGCAGAAGCTAACCGTTTGTCTCACAGGCATACTTCAAGACTCTGTTTGACAGGGAGTATGCGGACAATCCTGATTTCCGCGGCGGCCCTGATGATTCCTCCTCGTCCACCAAGGATAACTCGGTTGCGCCCTCGACAGCAACCGAGACGCCGCAGCCGACCCCTAGCGGTCCTCCAACTCGCATCAAGCTGGTATCGAACTCGAATGGTGCCAGCCAAGCGAACGGAGGAAACAGCAGCGTCCAAAGCGATGATGACTGAAAGAAGCTTCGTTTGAAGAAAATTTAAGGGGGTGGGGGTTAATTGAGCATCGCAGTCATGTGGCTGCTTTTTATCGCATTTGCTCTTGCTTCGGTTGTTTTTGGCCGGTGTAGTGGATGGACAAACGGACAACAAATGGACGGCGTTGTGTGTGTCCCGAATGGCTGGGTCTGGCGGGGGATGCTGAACTTTTATACTTGTTTTTACTTTTGAGAGACTTTGGCGTCGCGTGTTGAGTGGGGTGGGGTTGTTGTCAGGCTGCTGTTTGCCGGCCTTACCTGCCTGCCTCCTTGGTAGGGCGGGATGGGGCAGTAATTCTTTTTTCTTTCTCAACCTCTTTTTGTTGTGCTGCTTTTTTGATGGGAGAAGAACGCTACTATTGTGATGATGGACTCAGTTTCTTGTCTTGTGGCGCAATTGATGGAGGGATGACAATGGATTGGCTAGGCCCGTTTGAGGGGGGCCGTCTGAGAGGGCATGGATGCCCATTCGGATATCTTTGCAGTACTGAGAGAGGGAGTCGCCAGAAAATCGAGCGGTTTTGTTTGCCGGGTTGCCCGTCTCAGATGCCGATGTCGAAGAGGACAGGGCGGAGCTGACTCGAGCTGGGTGGGATGAGGGATGAAGTGTGTCTAGAGTAAAGTGTATTCTACAGAATAGAAAACAGGTGTGTCATCTTTAACTTGAATATGTCTTGCTTAGTGCTTGAAAGTGTTGCCGCTGTGAGTACATGGGATACAAAGTCTACAGTGCAGGGTGGCAACCGCCTCTGCTGCTACTCCCTGAAAATGAAAGCAGCAAAAAGCAATATGAACGTCGGTTGAGTCGGTTGAGTTGCTACTCACAAAAAGCTGGTAGATGGGATATCCTTGATATAATCACATTCCAACCCAATCCCGGACATGGTCTTGGGCATATGTCGATCCGCCCAGGTCTCGAACCTGGAACTTCGATTCGTAGTCAGACGCTCTACCATTAAGCCAGCGGACCACATGTGATTGATGTTATTGTGAGTGTTGAAGTCTGGAATTATCGAGGGTGGCTTAGTGTTTTGGGGCGGTTGGTTTCGCGTCGCTGGGCATTAGCTACCCCCGAGCATCTAGTTTGATGTTGAAATGAAATGATTTCAAGAAAAGCTGTTAAAGTAGAGACATTTGAAGTCTCGTTTGCTCATGTTACAGCTCTATCGTAGAGCTCTCAAAGTCACTAAACCAAGAGATGGAATAACGATACAAGGCAAAAAGAAAAGGAACTGGTTGGCAGCTGACTATCCAGGGTCGATAAGAAAGAGAGAAAAAAGAGAGAAAAAAAAAGTGTGCCCTGAAACTCAGGGCTGATTAGCTGCCTGATACTGGAATCGAACCAGTGATCTTTGCATGTCGTTGAGAGAGTGGTACAAGTGCAACGCATTAGCCACTATGCTAATCAGGCTTTGCCTGTTTTGTGGAGACTTTGCTCCGTAATGGCCCTCACAGATGGGGTGGTCTCCGAAATATTACCAACACCTACCAACCCACTTGAAAATGACAGGATGATGGCGATGGTCTATATCGCTAGCAAAACTTTTCTTCGCATGTTCAAATGCTGGAAATATGCATGTACATATATACCTATGGTAGAAGCGACCCCCTTCGCTACTCAATAAAAAGAGAACACGAATCGCTCTCGGAAAAAAGTATACATAACTTCCCTTATCTCTCCCCTTCGGATCCTTGAGAAATTTCGCCCCTAGCAAGCCCAATAATATCGCCCGCCGGTACATGACAATGAGCCGCTGCAAGCATCCGTCGGCGGTGCCACCACTCCCGCGAGGTGTGTAATACAGCCGAGCAAGGACAGGGACGCCCTCAAGTGCCGTCCCGTCGCCTAGCCGTCGGGAGGTTGCATGGCGCGTCGACGTCTAACGGCCAGGCAGCCCGGAAACCGGGAACCTCTTCGGAACTGACGACGTTCCATGGCAGCTAGACCAGCAACGATCGAGACAGAGTGCAGTAGCCGAGACATGGGATAGAATATTCATAGAAGGCGTGGTCACCTAACGGCCTGCAACGCCGTATATCCTTCTACTGCCGTCTAAGATTCTATGAGCTGGCCGCCCCCAATCATGCTGGAAAAAAATGTGAGCTCGTGTCTTTCCCCAACTCCATCCTGTGAAGCAGAAGCCAGACGCCAGAATGTCGTCAACGCCTATAATCCTTCCTTCCTTCCAACCCCCCGTGGACGTTACTTCATAAACCCAGCCGCCCCTCTCCCAAAAGCAAAAGAAAAAAGAAGAGAAGAAACAAGAAGTCATCATTCCGTAACTAGCGCATTGCTCAGTCCCAGCATGATCATGCCCAAGAAGGCAAAGAAGATACTCAAGTTCTTGTTGTGGTTCAGACTCAAACTCTCCACAAACAACTGCAGCGCAACACTCGTCATGATGCCCGCCGTGACGGCAAACAGACAAGCGTACGCCACATTGTCAATGCCGAACTCGGAGCGATTGTCCGCAATGTGGAACCACAGCACGGCCACGGCGGCACCCAGCGGTTGACTCAGCCCCCCCAGCAGCGACGACCAGAGCACCGCCTTGAGTCGGCTGCCCAGCGCCAGGTACAGCGGCAGCGCCATCGAGAAGCCCTCGGCGATGTTGTGCACAAAAAGGGCCATGAAGACGTTGAGCCCCAGCGAGCGGCTCGCGTGGTTGGTCGCGTACGTGATGAAGCCCTCGGGAAACTTGTGCAGCGCGATGGCGATGACGGTCTGCAGGCCGATGGAGAGGAAGGCGTTCTCGGGCACGTGATGGTGATGCTGCTGCTGCGCTTCGAGGTCTTCACATTCGACCGAGGGGTCGGGATTGTCCTCGTCAACAGTGGTCGGGTGGGCGTGGGATTCACCGTCGGCGGTGTACTCGGAGGTTGGATCCTGGGAGTGTGTGTGCGAATGCGTGTGCAAATGTGAGTGTGAATGTGGGTGTGTGTGGTTAGCGTGGCGAAGCGGGCTCCCTGGAGAGATCGTGGCACCATCTTCGTAGTCCTCAGGTACGTCATCAGTAGGTTCAAGGTGAGGATACAAGGTCGTGCCTGTGTTGGTACGTTGAAGGGCTCCGCTCCGCGAGGAAAGGGCAGACGTAGTTTTGAGCTTATCACACTCCTGTCCGCAAGGCTCGGAATAGCCGTAGCAGGAGTCGGACTCATCGCAGTGTGCCTTATGAGGCCTGTCCTTGACAAAGGACTTCACAAAACTCCGAAGCTCACGGAGGGACGACCGCCTAATTTGCGCTGGAGCATGGGCACGGGAACCGTGGAAGTGGGGAATGGCCTCGCCCCTTGATGAAATGTGTCTGTGTGGCTCGGGATGCACAGAATGGCCGTTCTGTTCGCCCTCCGGCACCAGTAAGGGCGTGAACTCTGTGGCATGGCCGTTCACCTCGGTCATTGAGCGCGAGGAGATGGTCCGCACCGACCGGCGACGGTGACGGCTCGCTCTTGAGGGGTGGCGACTGTGCGGATCGGGCTCGAACTCGTCAAAGTGCTCCTTGTGGGTGTGGTCGCAGTCGACAATGTGCGATGGCATATATTGGTGCACAACGCGTGATATTATCTGGATGCCGACAAAGCCCCCGATGAAGCAGCTCATGGTCAGGAAGCCGGCCGATTGGCGATCCCACTCGGCCTTGGCGAGATAGCACATTGCAGATGGCAACATGCTATACAAGGCCGAGAATATCTACGCGATGGTTAGCAGGCGGAGGGGCCCAGATTGTCACGGAAAAAGGGGCTAACCATAACGCCAAAACTTAGGCTGAGCGAGCAAGCGAGAAAGGCATTGCTGTCCTGTATCCTGAAGTCTTTCTTCCCCGGGAACAGGCGGACGAGGGCATCAACGCAGACGATAGTTGCGCCAAAGGTGCAGGCTACAGTCGCGGTCAATCAGGGAACACAGACAGGGTATCAGGGGCACTGTCGCTCACCAATGCCGCTCACAATGCACATGATCCACCCGCGGGTGTCATTGTCCATGCCGGCCATGATGGCAGCGGCCGATGCAACCGGCGACGCGGAGGGGCGAAATGGGTCGGAATCGCGTTATGATTTCACTCTTGCTCTGGAAGACTTCCACACGGAGGAGGGCGGAGGTGGCAGTCTCTCGGTCGGGCAGGATATAGGTAGTGGAAGTGGTGTGGGCTAGGTGGATGGGACAAAGGGTGGAACAGCAATTGGAAATGTTGGAGAGGCGGGAGGCAAAAGTTGCCTGGACGTCTCACACAGCCCTGAGAACCTCGATGGCCTGGCCATAGAGGTACACTGCCGGTGACTGCTACAGGTTCCTACAGGTTCCTACAGGTGTGTATCGTCTGAAAGCTAGGTACCGCTAAGCTAGCGAGTAATCATCCACCATGCCATCCCCCATCCCCAGCCTTCTGCCGCTTTAGGTTGGCCGTTGCCCACTCACAGCGAGGGAGCCTGCGCTTGTCAGAAGCCTGCCAACCTTATCGTGCTCTAGTGCAGCGAACTTAAGTCTACCGTGTGCGACCAGTCAGTGTGTCTTGTTTCGGGGAATATCGTCACGTTGTCACGCGGAGTTGGCTGGGTTCTGGTCTCTTACGCACGAGGTCGGCCATTTCAGACCGAGGAAGCCGCTCTTGTAATGTGCCGGCATAGTCAGCCAAAACGGCCTTTTGGCACTTTGACAGGGGGCTGAGTCGGCGCCATTTCAAATGCCGGTTATCTCAACTCGGCCGCCTCACTCGTTCGCATAACCAACCGTCGAGTCCATCCGATGTGATCCATAGTTTGAAGTTTCGTTTGTATGTTCTGTTTGCGAGCTGCAAGTCCACATCGCGATGGGCAGGTTCTCTCCTCCATCCGCAACACCCAACCCAGCAACGGGTGTTCCTCGATGACGACACACCCAACGTCCTGTGATGGGTGACACCTCGCGCTTGGGTTTGGGGGTGTTGGGATGTTGGGGGTGTGATGAGGCTCCAGCGGGGTCGTGCAAACCCGGTGCAGAGTCCCACACGCCTGTTGAGCCCCTCGGGACCTGCAGGGGGGCTGATCGGATCGAGCAAAAATTCAAGACAACTTTCACGCACTTGAACCCGTACAGATACCACACACCCACCCACCCCGTCCCAGCCACGAGGGCCCGTCGCAACCGCGTGAGCACGACCGAGTCACCGCAGCCAGCGCCTGATATCTCTCTGCTTCCCAGCTGCCTACACGCGCGCGAAACCGTATAAATACGCGTCGCATAGTTTCTGCAAGCCGCCGACGCCGAAAGGTGCTCTTCACCATGTCCAAAACCACTCTCGCCGTCATTGCCGCCGTGAGCGCTGGAGCCGGAGCTTGCGCCACAGCCGCCATGTACACGCTGCGATCCAGCGAAAAGAAACTCGACACCATCGCGACGACAACCACCACGACGACAACCATCTCCAAGCCGACGACGGCCCCGGGTGTGCCCTCCACCCAAGTCTTCAGCCAGTCCGCCGCCCCCGTCAACCCCTCGGGCCTCTTCGAGTACGGCTTCCCGGGCCCCGTCAATGACCTCGCCTCCCGCACCGCCCTGATATCCTCGTACGACCGCCGCACGCGCAATCCGCACTGGGTCGCCGAGCACATCACGGCGGCCTCGCTGGCCACGCGCGGCGGCGACCGCAAGAACAGCGCCTTCGTCGAGGACGCCGCCGTGCCCGACAAGTTCCGCGCCCACCTCAAGGACTACTTCCGGTCAGGCTACGACCGGGGCCACCAGGTCCCCGCCGCCGACGCCAAATGGAGCCAGGCGGCCATGGACGAGACCTTCTTCCTGTCCAACATGTGCCCGCAGGTCGGCGAGGGCTTCAACCGCGACTACTGGGCGCACTTTGAGGACTTTTGCCGCCGCCTGACCACCTCGTACCCCTCGGTCCGCATTGTCACGGGACCCCTCTACCTGCCCAAGCGCGACCCTGCCGACAACAAGTGGTACGTCCGCTACGAGGTCATCGGCAACCCCCCCAACGTCGCCGTGCCCACCCACTTCTACAAGGTCATCTACGCCGAGGGCGCCACCCCGGGCGGCCCCGTCGCCCTCGGCGCCTTTGTGCTCCCCAACGCCCGCATCCCCAACGACAAGCCCCTGACCGACTTCGAGGTCCCCATCGAGGCCGTCGAGCGCGCCAGCGGCCTCGAGTTCGCCACCAAGCTGCCCCCGCAGCGCCGCAAGAGGCTGTGTGCCGATACGAGCTGCTCGCTGATCATCAAGCAGTATGCTGACAGCCAGAAGGCGTTTCCCGCCAAGTAAAAGGGTAGTCGGGTGTGCCGGCTTGAAATAAGTACACGAAGCGGGCACGTGGAGTGGGAGGGAAGCTTTGCCATCAGCAACAATGGCTTGGGCGCATCATCATCATTGCGGCGAAGGGAGGCCTGGGTGATTGGCCTGGCTGCATTTCCTCTGGCATC